TACCTTAAACGTACCTCAAAGCAAGATTCAAGTGGATAATTCCCCCTAGAATACCAGCCTATAGGAATACAGTCAGTCAAAATCAAACTCTTCATCAGCAACTGAAGTCTTTGGGTTTGCCTTCTAAATGAAAATCAAAGCAATCACGCACTGTGGGGTTTTCTCTTTGCACATATGGAAACATGTGATTTTCCTCGTGGATTCTGCTGTGAGCTTATTGAGAGAGTGAAACAGTAAGAATCGTGGTACGGGCAGAGGGGCTGCCCTAAGCTCAGGGACAAATCATTGCATTTCTCTCTTGGGCATCCCAGTGAAGACTCCTCCCAAAATTTCCTGTCACACAAAACTTCTTAATGGCAAAGTATCTGAAAAACACCTTGGTATTTTCATTCTTGAGCCTAGGGTTACATTTGTGAGGTAGGGTAGTGATTAAGATCTTGGGTTAAGTCAAATATATACTTATGTATAGATAGATACATACATATGTACGTGCCTATACAAATATATACATACACATACATATATATGTATATATATGTATTGCCTGGGGAAGAATTTACCATAAAATTGACTTAATGGCAAAATGAACACTCTCTGTCTGTTAAGAGAAAAACCTAAGACTACTTTGACAAACGTTTTGCTTTTAGAGAAATACACATTTCAAGAATATGTTATTTTTCAATTGCCTTACGGATTAGGTAGCTGAGCACAGGAGTGAGAGGGAGACTTTTGACCGTATATTCATATGCACTTTCTGGATTGAGGCATATAAATATATTACACATTCAGAAAAGTAAATACAATTTTAGAAAGGGGAAAAAAAAAAACCCTAACGGTGCATTTGCTATTAGGAAATAGAATGAAAACGTCCTAGATGATGAAAAATGGAAAAGAGGATTGGGACCAAGAAGTTAGTCACCTAGTTAGTTAATATACCATCCTCTCTAGCTCCCAAAATATTTGTTAATTCAAATGGAGAGTTGTTTTATTTTTATTTTTGTTTTGAGGGTGAGGGAGTGGTAATCTACTCTCCAAAAAAAAAAAAAAGAGGGTCCTCTCCAGCAAGACCTTTAGTCTCCGTGGCTCAAATCCCATTAACACTAATCAGCGCAATGATTAAACACATTGTGGTTAAGTACTCTAGTTGATAACGACTCCTTTGGAAAAAAGGTTCCCATAGCGACAGGTAAAGGCTATCATCAAACTCAGCTTTTCAGAACTAAGACTTGGTGTCACAGATCCGAGAGTTAAGATTGTTTTAGTATTAATCGGGAGGCTTGCTTTTTTAACTTCACTTGACTTCATCCTTTCAAAAGACACTTGAGAGTCCCTGTACACATCAGACACAGTACCAACATGGTGGGGGGGAGGCTGGAGAGGTAGGAAAAAGACCTCAAAGATAAGATATGGTTCCCGCCCCCAAGAATTGCAATCGGCTGAGGAAAGGAGGCACCAAGAGAATTAATGATATTATCATGGTAATTCTACCCCTAAATCTATAGCCAAGCCTCGTCCTCACAGCTAGGAATGGTCAGTTTCTAGACTAGTTTCACTTTCCCATCTTTAAGCTGCAGCACAGCTGGCTTTCCAGCTGGCGGGGGAAGAAAAGATTCTTTAAATAAACAGCATTTTAAAAATATGCAGTCGCTTTTGCTATGCTGAATTTTGTGAACCACCTTCCTCTAATATGTGATTCTGGTTGTCAAATTAAATAAAACTATCCTAAAGGATGTAAAGCCACCACCACCACCACCACCCCAACCCCCCGCCCCGGGGGAATACACCTTTTCCATCTTTAACAACAAAGAACACTATACATTGGAAGAAAACTGTAAATCAGAAAGTCCCAAAGGAAGAATGATCTTTTTTTTTTTTCTTAAGCTATCTGCTGTGTCTATGCAACAAGGAAACAGCTTAAAACCATATATATAGGAAAGCAACAAGATAGGGTGTGATTATACCAAAATATGTGCAACCATCTTTAAAAATGCAGGACTGGTTGCAGAACAGGATGCTTTTATAGCATTGTACAGAGTTGCTAATCCTGAAGACTGCTTTCTCTTTTTCCTCTCCACAAAAGGCACAGAAAACACCTCCCTGTATGCAAGCTTTTTAGAAATGCAAAGATTTTACTCAACTCTTTACCACCAGAGGTAGTAATTTTGGATGAATGATACACATGAGATCTATAAAAATACCCCTCTGACAGATATTGTTATCCCAGCCAGACTTCACAGGCTTCAAATCAATATTACACAATAGCAGTGAAATTAGCCATTCGTGAGGACCTTCTACAAAGGGTCTAGCATGACCCCTCATTGATGCTACTGAGACATGTGCTAACTTTTAAACTCAATATCCCTCCATAGGATACATTGTCCCAAAGTACTAACCCACCCTAAGACACCTTTCTAGATGATCTCCCCAGGAAACACAGCTCTCTGAATCCAGACACATTCAGAGCTGAAACTGGCTAAACAAAGTAACAATTCAACCACAGTTGCTCAATATAACGGGCATGATGACAGTTTCTGAGTGCCAGTTTCCCTATTTTGCAATGGGCAAATCTGCTCCAAGGAGAAAATGTTCCCAATGACCCTGTGGCCCAGAGGGCTTTCTTTAGAGATAGAAAACAGAAAATGAATTTGTTAGTTATTTCCTGCTGAGCACAAGGAAGGTGTTGTGGTTAGTTAGGATGATTTTGTTTCCTTATTTAATATACCATCACCAGGGCGTGTTTTCCTTAACCCCATGGTAGAAAATAAGAAAATGCAGTTTATGCTCTTCTGGCATATAATTCCCAGTTCCACAAATTTCCTCTCACAAATATGTCCTTTAATTTCGAATCCCCTTATATAAAGCTCCCCCCTCCACAAACTGACACCGACTTAGGCGCTATCAACTCAAAGCCAAATTGTTTGCATTCTGAAGTGTTTATTTACTTCCATGCTTGTTTCTGTCTCTTGACAATTTACAGCGTGGGATGGCCTTCTCTTCAGAAGGGATCTCTTTGGGCACTTTCTGAGAACTAGACCCACTCATGCCACTTCCATCAAATGAGGTGATCATAACCTGAAAGTAGAAAATATCTCTGACCCCCACATCTCTCATGATCTCCACATTCAACTCTTCAACTCCTCAACTCTCACCAAGACAAACAAGGTATAATTGCAAAGGAGGGAAGGGGGAAAGTAGGTGGAGGAAGACAGGGGATTATCTGACAAAGACCATTGGGTCTCAGTGGACCAGACCAGGGATTATGTAGTGATGTGCACTGTGCATACGCGGGAGCAACTCACCGAGAACCAAAACAGAAGCTGTCCTTGGACAAGGTTCAATAAATGTTTTTACTATCTATTTCCCGCTGCACAATACAGTTCCACAGCTCCCTATGGGATCTCACATAAAATACTTAACAGAATAAAAAAATCAGAAATTCTTAACTGTTCTCGACTTGTCATCATAAAACAGGGAAGAGCATAAAACCAACATGAAGGAGCAGTCAACAGTATTCCTCAGAACAATGTCAGAGAGAGAAATCACTCTTACCACCCAAGTTTCTCCCTCCTCATTAAGATACTTCAAGATTCTTCTGATTCAAGTGGCCACAGTTTAACATAATGCCTGGATTCGCAACCACTACTACTAAATTAAAATTTTGTCTCTTGAAGGACAGGGGTGGGGGAGGGGTAGAGAGGAGGAAGGCTTCCAAAACGCAAAAAGGCATTGATCTAAAAAGGGGAGGGCAGCAAAACTTCCCATGAGCTGTTCCACATTCTTTGCTTCTCAAAGCCTATATAGACCCAATTGGTAACCTGGTAAACATGCCAACTTCGATGACCTCCGGGACATCTGTCATAATTCAGTGATTACACAGCCCAGAGTCACACAGCAAGCACCCAATTTAGCCTGAGACGGGACAAAAAGAAGCCCCAACAGGCATAAGCCCAAGACCAACCAGCACCAAATACTCCAGTATGGGGGTGATTTGGTTTGAAATATCTCACTGAGAAGTAAGTGCGTTCGGGGAGGAGAAACAAAAGCTCTTAAACAGATACTTCTTTGACTTTGAACATGGGAGACCTCCACTCTCGGCTACAGAGATCTACACACTTGTGGTGTTTCTGAGCGCCTGCATTCCCGTGCAGCCCCAACATCATGAAGACGGCAGATGCAGTCCACACATCCTGCCAGTAAGATGTCAGAGCCTGAGCTTACGGCATTCAGCAGAAGTAAGTTACTCTATTTCATTGTCATCCCTTTCAACAGACCTAGTCAAATCTCCCAGAAACGGCCAAAAGAGGTGTCCGCTTCCCGGTCCTGGAGGGTAAGAGAAGACTGGTCTAACCGCTTAGCAAAGACAGGCAATCACGAAGGAAAAAACACCCCGAGCCACATGGAGGACGGAAAACAGTAGCAGAAAAAGTCCAACTCTGCCTGCGCCAGCGGTGGGGATGAGCAGAACCGGAGCCCCGGAGAGGAAGGAGGGGGCGGGGGCCGTCATTCCCTAGGAGAACTTGTAAGCGGAGGCCTTCACGACCTGGGAGTCTGCCCAGCTGCTCCTGCAGACCCTGGCCAGTCGGAGCGAGGCAGGCCCATGGGAGCAGAGCCGGCAAGGCCTCCGAGGGTCACTCCTGACTCACCGAGCCTCGGGCCGGCACCACCCGGACTTCGCCGTTTTTCCTGCCGCTACTGGGCTATGATGGCAGCTTTCCAGCTCTACATGCTATACATCAGCCGCAGATCGCTGCTGGCACAGGCCAGCGCCTTCCCCCGCCCCCCACCCCTGGCACACTTTGAGCCTGATCCTCCATCTCCCCAACCCCCACCCCCTCACCCATCCGCGCCAGGTGCCCTGCCCAGGGGCGGCCCCACCCCCCACCCCCAGCAGCCGGGCGCTGCCAGGCCTGGGCACCTGCAGCACCTCCCTGCCCCACCCCCATTCTCCACCACCTCGCCCCTCCCCCCTTTCTCCAGCAGAGAGGGAGGGGGCGACTCACCGCAGTCAGTGCACAGGATCTTGCCCACCTCTTTCTTGAGGTTTTTGCCGTTGGTGTCGATAGGGGCAAAGGCCGTCTTAAAGACTAAGGGCTGCTCAGTGGGCTCCAGGAAAAAGATGTAGCGCTGGTTCCTTTCGAGCGGCGCACAGGAGCCCACGCTAATCACCTGCTCGCGCTGCAGCCCCCCGCTCCGGAGCGGCCACTTGTCCAGCACCTTCACCAGTGCCACCCGACTCGAGCTGGGTGGCTCGCGGGTGCTGTTGGAGCTGGAGCCGCTGGCCGGAGCCAGCCCCTGTACCTTGCCCTCCACCACCACCGGTGCCTTGTACGCCTGGTCCTGCACCGACTTGAGGCTAGGCGAGTAGCAGGCGAGCGACACACCGAAGAGCAGCATGGAGAAGCCGGGGGCCGGGTCGCGCCTCATGCCGCCGGCGGCTGCGGCTCGAGAGCGGGCGGCGGCTCTCGGGGCTGCGGGGCTGCGGGGCTGCGGCTGTTGCGGCGGCCGCGGCTCTGGGGGCGCAGCGGGACGGGAGGAGATGCTGCTGCTGCTGCTCCTGCTGCTGCTCTCGCTGCTGCTGCTGCGGCTGTTGCTGCTGCTGCTCTCGCTGCTGCTGCTGCGGCTGCTGCTGCTGCTGCTCCTCTCGCTGCTGCTGCTGCTGCTGCTGCTGCTGCTGTCGCTGTAGCTGCTGCACCGAGCCTTCTCCAGTGGCGGCGGCGACAGCGCTGAGCAGCAAACCTGCCGCATCTGGCCAGGCCATTTGGGGGGCTCTGCCGCTCCGCCGCCGCCGCCTTGGGAGGGGAAACAGAGCCCGCTAGAAAACCGGAAACAGCGTAACGTTAGCGCCTCGTAGCCCTCCACCGGCAGCCGGGGGAGGCGGCCCAGCTAGGGCAGGGGGCAGGCGGCGAGCCGGCCGCGATGCGCAGCGCGGAGCGGCGCGGCGCTCCCACCCTGCGCGCCAGGACCTGGAGGAGGATGCGGAGAATAGGACGCCCGCCCACTTGCTCTCTCGCGCCCCCTCTACCCCCGGACCAAGTGAGGAGCGCGGCTTCTGCAGGGGAAGCTCGGGACTGCACTGCTTTAGCGCCCGGTGTCGCGGCCCGCAGGAATCGTGCTACCTTTGCTCTTGCGATTTATGGGCAGGACAGTGGGACAGTGCGGGAGGAGAGGGCGGAGTAGAGAAAAGAGATCCTGGCACCGTCCTATGAACGTGGGAGTGGGGCACAGGGCGTGTCCCTGCCTTTGGCCAGGGGCTGGAGCAGCCGGGGAGATTACCACGCTCGGTGTGGCGGGCGAGCCTTACGCCTCCTAGATTACCCCCTTCCCCGGGAGGACCTTAGAGGCCGGCCCCTAATGGGGCCCACGTGTTCGGCCCTGCCACCGCCTAGTGAGCTCTAGGGATCCGAGTTGAGGTGGAGAAGGGTTCCAGACGCGTCATTTTGGAAAGAGTTAGGGCTACGTGAAGTCTTTTCTCGGCATTGAGGACGCCCATTGAAACTGGGCGAGGGTCCAGTGCCCAAGACTCTGGGCTTTCAGCAGCGGCCAGGCTGGACAGGCTACACGCCGTACAACCTCACCTTCTTTAGAAAAGCTGTTCCCTAAAGCAAGTGGGGGCTTCTTGGGAGCCAACTCGAGAGCCAGAGTCTGTCAGGGCCAGAGGCTGCTCCAGAAGAAATGGTTTCTTTTGTTTTAAAGTCTGGTCCTTGCAAGGGACAAGAGAGCTCGATCTACTGGAGCCAACGTCCCATTTTAAAAAGCAAATCCACAATCTGTTCTCCTCCTATCAATAAGGATCTAGGGAGTTTTCAATTTCCAGCTTATATCCTTGAAGGATGTGGAGCTCAGGAATTCTACTCAGGTCTTGGAGAATTTTATCCCTGCCTGGGCCCAGCAGGAAATGGGCCCAGGGATGTCTGGCTCAGGCTTGGACTGCTATTCTGTAAAGGAAGAACACAGCTATACCTTTCCTGCTGGCTGTCTAAGAGCCACCTCAAACTTAATATATACAAAGACAACAGCATTATTTCTCCCACCCCACTCCAAATTCCCTATAATTGTTCATGGCAGTGTTTTGTATTTGGCCACCTGATCCATTCCAATAAGTCCCTTAGTCTCCTCTTATTCTCCCTCATCCAATCAATCACCAAGTCCTTCTGTTCTACCTTTTAAAAAAATCTCCGATGTATCTAGCTCCTCTCCCACCCTGCTGTGAATGCCTTAGGTTCCAAGTGCTCATCATCTCTCACCTGAACCACTGCAAAACCTCCTAACCAGTTTCCCCACTGTTGGCCTCATCAGCCTCCTCCTGTCCTACCACAGTCAGAGTCATCTTGCTAAAAATAAAATGTAAATATGAGTTGGCCACGCCTCTGCTCTCAGGAGTCAATTCCAGGCTGAAGAGTCTGGGCTCCCTCTACCTAACCAGCTCTGCACCGTGGGAGCCAACCCCCTACCCTAGGAATCCAGCACAATGTGCCTGTGTTTCTGCCTGTAATGTCTCCTGGGTCCAGAAGCCTCACCTTAGCCTTGTCCATCTGGAAGACTATTCCTTCCCCCAAGGCCCAGCTCAGCATTACACCTCATCCCTCCCTTCCTTACATCCAGTTCCATTCCGAGCACTGTACATATGACATGATGGAATTAATCCCTTCCTCTTCCATGTAACCACGTGCCTCATACATGTTACTATTATGGCACTGACCTACACTAAAAGCAGCTGTTAGTGGGTCTGCATTAGACCCATCAGGCCAGGTCCCTTAACAGCAGGGACCATGTCCTATTAGTCTTTGGAGCCCTATCCAAAGGGATGTCTGACACAGTGCCTGCCATAGAATAAAGATCAGCAAATCTTCCATGAGGAAAGGAGGGAAGGAAGAAAAGAATCAAAAGTCATCTATCTCTCTTACAGGCATCTGGCCAATCTTCTTGGTCCCTTCAATGTCCCCCTTTACGTTTTCATGGATCACAATCTCCTACATCACAGAACACCTCTGTGAGGAATATTGCTAATTCCACCCTCTCCTTTTCCAGTGGAGCAAACAGTCCAAGGGAGGAAAAGTGACTTATTCAAGATCACACACATCCAGGACTGTACTCAGTCTTCCATTTCTGACAACAGAATGGTGGTAAAGAGCTTGGGCTCTGGGGTCAAGCAGAGCTGGGTTTCAAACCAATTTTGTCATTTACTAACTTTGGAATGAGCTTGTTTTTGTCTCTGGGCCTCGGTTTCCTCATTTGTATAACAGAAATAATAATAGGGTCTGCTTCGTCAAGTTGGTTTTTGCTCATGATGTATTTAATAAATATCCAATGAATGGCTCCTCTGAGACATGGTACCGGCCACTGGATATAGTGCAAGGAGCCAAGCTGATTCTGTCCTTGCTTGTAAAACACGTACTGTTGGGAAGACAACAGTAAACAAGCAGATAGATAGGTAACTAATTACATAGAGTGGTTCATCTCCTGAAGGAAATAGGATGAAATGATAGGGAATAATGGAAAGGGAAGAGGGAAGGTATCCTTGGATCATAGAAAGCTTCTCTAAGGAGATAACATTTAAGCTGAAAGAGAAGGATTTGAAGGATGTGGATTATGTGAGATAACAAGTATAAAATGCTGAGAACAATGCCTGATGCAAAGTAGGGGCCAAAATTAATGTTGAATATTATCGATAACTTTCTTATACTACTGGTTTCCAAACTTAGAGCTGAGAATCTCTAGGTGCTCTGTAATTGATGTACACTTGGACTTTTGGTATATTAATAAATGCAATCTAACTTTTCAATAGCAGATGCCACTGTGATGAATAAAAATGCACATTCTTCTCTCTTTTTTTCACGTACCCTGTTTAAAGTATAACAAGACATTGATAAGTATGAAGAACAGTGGAAAGATCTGTTATTTTTGTCTTTTTTTAAGTGATAAATATGTAAGTATTTGTAAAGCATAGATGACCTTTGAAAGGACACAGCAGACACAGTGTTTCAACAACACTTGGCTCTGGGAAGGACACTGAGTGACCGAGGCATGGAGTGCAAGGACTATTCCCTTTGGTACCTTCTGCATTTTCTATCAGGTTTGTATACTACCTACTCAAAAAAAAAAAAAAAATGTTTGGGAGGATCCTCTAACTTCTCACCATTGCTAAATTTTTATCAAGTATGTTCTCAATCAAAAGCTACTTAAAATAGAACTGTTACTTTTTGGGATTCCTTTAAATTATTTTTACCTTTAAATGAGATTCTCTGGGTGCCTGTGTAGCTCAGTCATTGAGCATCTGCCTTCTGCTCAGGTCACGATCCTGGGGTCCTGGGTTCGAGCCCCGCATTGGGCTCCCTGCTCAGCAGGAAGCCTGCTTCTCCCTCTCCCGCTCCTCTGCTTGTGTTACCTCTCTCTGTCAAATAAATAAAATCTTTTTTAAAAAAATGAGATTCTCATGCTAAAAAGCATTGTGAATTAGTGCATGATAATTTTACCCTCTTTAGAACGGATAAATTTTGAGATCCCAACAGACTACCAGAATTCCTGTGGTCAGAGGAGTGGGGACTTAATGCAGAGACTTCTGAGGGGAAGAGAAGTACCTGTCCAGCTATTCTCAAGGTGTGATGTGTAATGAGGATAAGCTTCTGGTATTAGCCCCAAACATTCAGTATAGAGAAACATGGGATTTAATTTCCTAGCTGGATAACCCAATTCTGTATTGGCTCTTCCCTAGGGATCAAAGTGAATGAGTAGGCATGTTTTAGAAAATAAACCTTCATATTCTGAACCTGCTAACTATTCATTGTGATTCAGTAATTGATAAAAAATAATGATAGCCACCATTATTAATGGCCTACTGTCTGTCAGGAGCTTATGTTTATATATCTGTATCTCAACAACGCTGCATTTTACAAATTGGAGAGACTTCTGGAGATTTAATAACTCACCCAAATGACAGGCAGAGTTGGGATTGCCATGCAGGCTTGTCCATGGCCAAAACACCTGCTTTGTGTGCGCCACCACACCAACCCTCTCCCTCACCACGTGGTCACCTGAGATGGCTCTAATCTCACCCAACCATTTCCACCAGTGGCAGACTATTTGAAATATATGCCACCGGAGACCAAGGGGTGTAAGTATCACTTTACAAAAAGATGAGGAAAATTGAGACACTGAGAGAATTTAAGTGATTTTCCCAAGATCACAAAGCCAAGGGCTGGGCCAAGGTTTATCACAAACTCAAGCTCACACATTTGGAAGGTTTTTTTTGGTTTGTTTGTTTTTTCTCTCTCTTTCATTTATCTTTATTTTCTCAGCTTTAGGGAGGTATAATTGACAAAACTGTAAGATATTTACATATTTATTTATTTATTTATTTATAAACATATAATGTATTATTTACCCCAGGGGTACAGGTCTGTGAATCATCAGACTTACACAATTCACAGCACTCCCCATAGCACATACCCTTCCCAATGTTCATAACCCAGCCACCCTATCCCCCCCACCACCACCCCAGCAACCCTCAGTTTGTTTCGTGAGATTAAGAATCTATTATGGTTTGTCTCCCTCCCAATCCCATCTTGTTTCATTTTTTCCTTCCCTACCCCCCAAATCCCCCACATTGCCTCTCAACTTCCTCATATCAGGGAGATCATATGATAATTGTCTTTCTTTGATTGACTTATTTCGCTCAGCATAATACCCTCTAGTTCCATTCACATCGCTGTAAATGGCAAGATTTCATGTCTTTTGATGGTTGCATA